GCATACAAGACATACATTAAACATACATTACAATAAAATTAAAAAATAAATAAATTAAAGTTAACAAAATAAAATTAAAGTTAACTTAACACAGTAGCCACAGTAAGTGTGTAGTGCAAATGAAGTAGAGATTGTCCATTGTCTATTTTCTATTGTCCTCCGTTCCTTGACCAAGAGCTGTTGTACAGTTTGATGGCCAGGGGGACGAAAGAACTGAGAAACGAAAGAAATGTAACTGCCTAAATAGCCTTGTACTGATACTTTAGCTGATAATACTTCTGGACTTCTACTTAGGTAAGGTTTTTGAGTGGATACCTGGTTGACCAGTATCCCCAGTTCACCAGTCCTGCGCACAACGTGTCAACAGTCCTGTGATCTGCGACCTGCCTCTGCAGCTGCACCTCATCAGTCTCTCAGTACAGGGTCGACTCCTGAGCCTTGTCTTGCATTTTGAAGTCTATAAAATGTCCCTTTGAATTTTCTAACAAGACAATAACATTCAGGCCATTGAACTGCAATTGTAATTTCATACACATATCCAGTTCATCCATAATATTTAATCAGCCTTGTGATCTTTACGCACATTAATTAGTTGCACCAGCTTGTTTAATCAATACACATTTTATTGCCGAGGCCTAGTTTATTTTTTCATACATTTCTTGGAAAAGTTTCTCAGAGTGCAGGAATTGTTAACTAAGAAGGCGAAACATTTTTTGAGGAGAAAAAAGGCCGTGCGTAAGTGAGCTGCCCTCCCGTGGGCTGGCCTTGCGAATGTCGGCCACTCCCGGCTCCTTTCCTTATAAATACGTCGGGAGGCCAAATTGGCATCTTGTCTGCAAGTGAGGAGAACACTTTGCCGGCAGAGGCCGCTGAATTTCTGACAAGGAAAAGGCATCAATTTCCTTACTAACACGTCTTGTTATCTGACTGAAATTCCAAGATCAAATGGAGACGATAGACAATTCTCTACAACAGGTAGGTGATGTTTTACTGCAACTTGTCCACAGGCGTTTAATCACCAGACTTAGCATTCCAGTTGGAGTATTCCAAAAAACTTGTTTTATTTATTTAATCTATTTTTAAAGCTGTTTCTTTGTTTTATTTATTTCGTCATTCAAATGTAAGATGGAGGAAGAAAGTTTAGTTGTAAAAAGTTGTTCTCCCCTCATGCTCACCTACAAAAAGCCAAACTTTACCTTACTGTGTGTGTAAGGCCTGTTGTGCATTGCTCACAGTACTTACTTACAAGTTTGAATTCAGGACTTTTAATTCTAATTGTTCATTTTTACGTTGCTGCATTGATGCTTTAACCTAAGTAAAAGATCTGAGTGAACCAGTACTGCCATTGGGGCTATAGTGAACCAGTAGACTGTGCTACAGTCCTCAATAAGCTCACAGAGGTCTAATGTCACATTTGACGCTACTTTAAACCAAAGTCAGGTTAAACTTCTTTCTCACCACTCAGTTGAAGGATCATACGAATCAAGTTTGACTTTAAAAACTAACTTTTTCTTTTTCCTCCCCTTTTTCAGGTGGACCTAAGCCTTTCCAGTGAGGATGCATTGTAAGTGAAATCGTGCAGTGTGATTTGTGCGTGTACTTCAGTGATTGGCACATAATGCAAATGATGATTAAAAAAAATATATGGTTAAGGTTTACAGAAAATCCTACAGAAATGTCCTTTTTATCCTTGCAAATATGATGGAATATAATCTTGTAATGCACTACATACCCACTAGAGGTCAGTAGATATATCTTACTCATACTTTACCACTTACTCTCTCTACATACAGCCTTCACTTTAATTAAAACCCCTTGTTTCACACACTCAAACTGCTACCGTCTTAGTTTTTCCAGTACTACAAATGTTTACACAACACTAATGGCACACTAACAAACTCCTGTCTCAGATACTTAATTATGACTTGATGTCCGCTGTATGTATGTCTGTTGGGATGTAGAAGCCTAAATTAATTTGCCAGTCTTTCATTCAGGTCACCTAAAATGGATTTAGAGACTGCATTGAAGGAATGCTCCACCGCCCTCGATTTTTTTCTGAACAACAGGTTTGCTGATGCGTTGGCTCTCTTAAAACCCTGGTGAGTCACCGAAACTCTGATAAAAATCCCTACTTTTCTAATAATAATAATAATAATAATAATAATAATAATAAACTCTATTATATTATTATTATTTTATTATTATTATTATTATTGCATTCTTTACTACACTTGGTATATATATTCCTTTTTTAAATGTTTTGTCCCCTCAGGAGAAATCAGAGCATGTACCATGCAATGGGCTACAGCAGCATCTTGGTGATGCAGGCAGGCATGACCTTTGACCCAAATGACATGGATGCTGCCATGGCATCATTGAGGGAATCCCTGCAGACATGCCAAAGGTTTCAACAATGTCATAAACCTTTTAGAACATTTGAGTCTTATATTGTGCACAGATGGCATCACCTTGAGATAAAGAGTTGAGAGACAGTCCTGCTGAATTGTCTTTGTAAAACTCTGTGTGTGTGTGTGTGTGTGTCTTAGATTTCGGAAGAAAACTGGAATAGTGCAGACTTTAACCAGCCTATGGTATAGACAACCAGTTGAGGACCTGACAGAAGGTAGGATATGAGCTCCCACTGTCTCCAGACTGTACACATTAGTGAATATGCATACTTGATCCTATATGACACGATAACACTGTTACATAATATGAAACTAAAAAGTGATTTGGATGGCAGATTAAGCAATGACAAGTCACAGCACAAAAAAAAGTACAGTTATGGTATATACCACTTTTCTTTAGTGCTATGGGCTACTGCAAATATCCTGTTTAGAATTTGTGGTATTATTCTCCTACAAACTTTTACACCCATTACTGTTATCCTGGGGCACTGATTACACTTTAACACACTATGGGAAATTGCAGTTTGGTGCAGCCTATAACATTATTGTCTGCAAACTTTTAACAGAAGAGATGCATGCAGAGCTGTGCTACGCTGAAGTTCTCCTGCAGAAAGCATTTCTCACGTTCCTGGATGAGAGTATAATCGGCTTCATCAAAGGAGGGATGAAAATCCGAAATAGTTATCAGATTTACAAGTAAGCTCTGCTTTTGCTGGGGATGTAATACTATAACCAGATATTAAGAAAACATAAATAAACATAATCATATTTTTAGAATTTTGTTTTAATGATCTGTCTCCTGAAACAGGGATTGCCAGGCATTGGCAAATGTCACAAAAGACACTCAAAAGCAGAAGAGCACACACATTCATTTCAGGGGCGGTGTCAACATGGGAATTGGATCATTTAATCTGGTGAGAGCTATAGAAAGCATTGCAGGCATACAGTAGGCCTTTATAAAAATTTATTTAGCCATGTTGTATGTATGTACTGTCTTTCATCTTCTACTACAGATGTGTGGGGTAGCCTATGAAAATAAAATAAAGGCTACT